ACAAGCTTAATGTTTGGCTTTTATAAAGATTTGGAGGATACATAAAAACTGCCTTTTATTAGTTTTTCAGATTACCGAACCTGCTTGGTTAAAAAAACAGAACAGAGGTTGTGCAATTTCCAAAATCTACTGACATCCTTGTCAATAGAAAAAATCAGTATTTCAAATATTCTTTGGAGCAAATTGTGAATACATTTATGTGATGTGAAAATGTGAAAGTATTTCTGACATACTTTTTCATATGTATCATTTGTCATCAATAAATTATTACAAATTTGTGAAATTGTTTCTCTTGACTAGACATGTGCTGGTTTAACTGTATTAAAAGTAGGGGTGCTCCGATCAGGATTTTTTAGGCCGATCGCCGATCACAGAAAGCAGTATCTGCCGATACCATCACCTCTTTTAGGTGACTCTTGTAAGAGGAGATTTTTTAATTTGAGGGGTTTTTCAAAATATATATTTATCTCACCTAAATATTTGATCATGCACTACATTTTTTGTTTTGACAATCGTTCAATTGCTGCACAATAGCTTACACACAGCCTTATTTACCTTATGCCTGATTTCGTGAGCTGTGAGGCGGCCTTTTACACCGGGTTCACACATACTCCGCTTGCAGTGCGTATGCAGTCCATGTGTGATACGTGAGCGGTACAGAAGCAGACATAAACAGTCAGCTTTACTGCCTTTTCTTTCGCATTTAATTCTTTATTACAAGCAATACTGCGGTTCATAAAGAACTTTGTTTTGCTACCTCCACGAGTGCCATCTATTATTGTCTTGTTCATCTATAAGTGCTCTTTTCCTTTAAACCTAGCCAAAAAGCCATAGCCTATGTGTTGACTTTGAAACACAGTAGACTTTAATTATATGCATTTATGGTATAACCACTGCATTTTCGTGTCAATCCATGTTCATATTTACCGCAAACAATGCGCTGTTACTTTAATTCAGCGCTTGCAGCGCAGCAAAAATAGACTTACAGCGGAAACGATCTCTGCACTGCTGGAGACGCACCACTCCTGGAACGTGTGCAGTGGGAACACTTTAATCCATTAACATGAGCGCAGAACAAATACGCACCACTGCAAATGGAGTAATGTGAACCTGGCGTTATGTGTGTGCGCTGCGAGTGGATAAGCGCATGGTTTCCAGGAGAGCACGCGAGCACTGATTGGTTTTAACACTGGCAAGAATTTAAAAGAAATGCAAATTATAAACTTTAGTGACCATGCGACACTGCCTCGATTGTGCAAGTAACAATTCCTGTTTCAACAGCGCAGCGTGCAGCTCGCTTATAGTGCAGACGCGGTGATTTGAAGCCATTTGCGCATTTTGAGAGGGAAAGAGAGAGAATCTTTAAGATGACTTACAACAGAACAGCAATGCATTTTATGTACGACCGTTTCATGAACCTAGGAGAGGAGGTCATTCTGACTTTGCTATGACAATCTGGCGCTTCTGAATCAGCAACTGTTTTGTTATTAGTTTAAGTATTTGCTATTGACTGTTCAAATG